GCGGGCGTCTTAAACCTCCGGGCGAACACGACACATACACAATTACATCTATCACCCCAACTAATAGTATTTTAATTTTTTTAAGGGGGGAAAATCATCAAATGTCTGCTCCCGCCTGGGAGAGGCGGGAGGGAGTGTCAGACTCTTACTGACTAAAAACCAACCCGTTCCTTCTTCCTTCGAGCCGGAACCCCGGTTACCCGTTAGGTTCTCCGCGACAACTAATACAGAATAGTATACTGTGTACTCAAAGTTCCACTGCACCTGTACAGCTCTTGATCTAACAAAAACCTAATCGTGTTGTGTCCGTTCATTAGTTTTAATATGAACGCCAAGTATGGCAAACATTCCCATTTATTTATGCTGTACACAGAAACTGAGGTCCGCCAAATATGGCCGCGAAGAATTTTAATGAACTTGCTAATTAGTTTCTGTATAAAATTACAAGCTGGTTAGTATTTCATATTCGCTAATGTAAAGAGGTGAAGTTTGTGTGTTTGTGTCTAGAAACAGGGTGTAAACCTAATTTTAGGTCGTGAACTAGGTCCACTTTTATACGGAGATTAACTTCATAGAAATTAATAAATAAATAATTTTGTAAGCGATGAGCAGCGCCTATAAGTACCCACAACACTAAAGAAGTTACTAATGAGTTGTCTTTTAAAAAAGAGTACGTACACTCTTATGAAATGTCATCATCGTTAAGTTACAAAATATGTCAATCTAACCACAAAAATGTCATGACACAACTCCTTACTCACACCACGAACACTGAAAAGGAAAATAAACAAAATATACAAGATTTGTCCAGTTTAAACTAGATTCATACACTTAACCACTTAACACTCCCTTATGATAGTGCCAAATCAAGGCTGTGCGATGAGATTTTGCAGTATTTCTCATGTCAGTTTTCAACCTTACCAGTCAACATTTTTTTTTTCGAAAACTCTGTAATCTAAATCAAAGTCAAAATCATTTATTTCAATTAGACCTGGAGGCACTTTTGAACGTCTTCAAAACAAATTAAAACAATCTGTTGGTCCTCTAGTGAAGCTATTTGTTCGTTCCAAGGTGTCTTTATTTATTTTTGAAGGAGGAAAATCATCGAATGCCTTCAACCATCTGGGTGAAGCAGTAGGGGGGGTAAGACTCTTACTAAAAACCATCCTGTTCCTACTCCTGCCCTTCGAGCCGGAGCCCCAGCAACCCGTTTAGTCCTCCGCGGCTCCGTATCGACATCAGCCCTATTGGGCCCCATCGGTAGTGGTCCGGTGGCTTTTTGAGGCGCGCGCGGAATGCGACCGTTCCAAGGTGTAGATAGATTCTACTGAAGAAAAACAGACGACAATGCGGCATATGAAATTATGTAGCAATAAGCCCACCCATGTGAAATAGGACACAACTAACATAATTGGTTAAAGGTAGACGTTACATATTTATACTCCGCCTACTTCGGCGATTAAAAGGTCATACTTAAAATACCTTTACAGTCCTGAAATTGTAAATCCTGTAAGGTCAGGTGCAGTTATCTTGATCATTTGTTAGCGTTAACCGAAGTTGGATGCACATCAAGCTATAAAGAACCAGTATAAACTGACCGTCGACTGTGCGGAGTGATTATGCAAAAGGAGACCACGATAAACTTGTTTAGTACAGTTTCATGTGTAACCAAGGTCCGTGGGAGAGTGTAGTGTAGGAGGACGCAGCTTAAACTGTTTTGTAATTTATGTAACGATTAAATGTATTTATTATTAGATCTTTGCTCAAGTACAGAAATTATTGTGATGCTTGTTTTAACTGTTCACTGGAACTTATTGCCGTTTTCCTTTATCAAACTGTATTTGGATACATTTCGGTGAGTGTGCGTGGGAATTGCACAACCTCATTCCCTCAAGTCCGTTTCACCATCGTACTACCAGACGAACGACAGGCCGCCACCTTTATTGGTAGACACTCCACCAATTCGCACGAAACGTTTTGCGTCAAACTTTCTCATGCAAACCGCTAAGGAATGGAATTCCTTGCCAGTATCTGTTTCCCGAAAAATATGACTTGGGTGTCTTCAAATTCCGAATGAACAGGTTGCTCATAGGTATGCTACATCATCGCTTGCTACCAGGCAAGATGGCGGTCAAACGTCGACCTATCAAGTATAAAAAAACTTTTTGGTACTCTTTGAAACGTTTAGACAAGAACGTTGAAAAAAAAGGCGAACATATTCTCACTTACAAATGATTGAAGCGCCTTTATATCAGTGGTTTACTTATGTGTGCGTGTGTAATGGGTTGGATATGGACAGATGTCCTTCGTGTCAATGTGTGTAGGTTCTGCGAGTAAGTCTATAGTACCCAGGTGCCACAGTCGTTGTTTCAAGACACTGTGTCCGCCCTTTTTTCAATATCCTTGTTTTAGCTTTTTATTTTACATATGTATATATATTTGATGGGCTGACGTTTAACCACTAACTGTTTGGAAAGATGTAGTTTTAATATATTGGCAACACCTTTTATCTATCATCATTACAAATAACTGCGTTATTGGTCAAGTGGTCACATACACGACTGCTGAGCAAGAGGTGACACAAATTCGATTTCCGTATCAGACATAAGTAAGTCGACAAATGTGTGCTCTTCAACTTTAATACCGCTTTACTCAGTATATTTACGTGAGCAATCCGTCATTTGTAGTTAAATTTGATATTTTTTATTAAAAATACATCTTTAATTTTAGACCATGACCAATGGTATCCTTAGTCTACCTAAATTACTATAATTCGAAGAAAAACTATAATGTTTACGTTTTATTACGTATCACAGTTTCGTTTCATCTCTCCGATCCGTCAAAAAATGTTTACAAATATTTCAAAATAGTTGAAATGTTGTGTTTACGACGAAATATTTGCGGGTTCGAGCTCCGGGCAGGAAATAACTTCAATAGATGTTAGTAAACAATCACTACTCGGTACTCGTACACACGTGAGGTATTGTTTATGAATAATTGAACTTGTTTATGAATAATTAATTAAAATTTTGCTTAAATAAATAGCAATCAGTGTTCATAAATAATAATAATAAATAATTAATTGTAAACTCTCCTTGACATCAACTGATTTTTATTATTTTGTTAAAGTTTAAATGACTGCCTTAAAGTCAAATTCAAAATCATTTATTTCAACTTTAGAACTTCAAAACAAAATATTGAAACATTAAAATAATGTCGGTCTGTCGGGCAGTCCTCTAGGTGCTATATTTGCTCGTCCCACGGTGTAGATTCCTATGTAGAAGAATGAGCAAGAAACTCCCTAGGTTAGGTACTCTTATTGTTAATTAAGGTACTCGATATTGTTAATCTAGTAGTAAGTTATTTTACTACATATAAAATCATATAATCTCCTATAAGCATAACAGAAAGAAAGAAAGAAAAATAATTTATTCGCCATGGATGAACATATACATGGACCACCGAAAATTAACATACAACATAAACATTAAAACACAAAAATAAATAGAAAACAAAAATAAAAAACATAAAATAACAAAAAAAAACAACAATGAAGGCAAAAAAAAACATAATAAAAAAAACAAAATAAAAGAAACAGGGTGGCAGCATATCCACGACGAAAGGGCTCGCACACTCAGTCTAAGCTGGGCACAGTAGGTACCCAGTACGTAACACTTGTTGCAGAACTTTTTATAAAGATTTAGGTGGAAGTAAATGTAACATACGATTTCCTCATCCTCATAAAACACGATGTCACGACTTTTTATAATTCATTAAGTACCGTAAGACGTTAATAAAAAGTATGTACTTTGTAGAGGCTACACTCACTACACTGTTAAAACCTATAAAACAAGAAAAAGTCTTAAGCCTACAACTACATTAATATCCTGCTACTTTCATCTCTGCTTAAAGATTGACTGGGAAACATTGCCCAAAGCATTAAGTCCACCTGTACACTCTTGTTGTATGAAGTCGAAAATAAATAAATAATAAAAAAAAACAGTGCAGACTAACCCACCGACTACTGGCACCGGCGGTTCCCACCTGATGTGAAAGTGTATACACTTCTCAATGGCGGCATGAATGGTAGTAGTGTAACGTGCGCGGATTGCGCGCGCAACTCACTCGGCTCGAGCAACTGGTCGCCGCCGCCATAGAGTGACTTGTTCTTAGAGTAGATGCGACTGGTAGGCAGAAATGGTGTCAGGAGATAGGAAGTTTGAGTTGTATTAGTGTTAGTGCAAAACTTAAGTTTTTGTATTGAATTTCTTTTTGAATAAAGTTCATTTAATAGATAATCTAATACAAAATTACTATTAGTAGAAATAATTAAGAATAACTTTGATGCATCATCGAAAGCAAGTTATGTTGGTATGTAATATTGCACATAAACATTTTTTCTTTACTGATTTATGAGAATGGAAACAATAATGTGACAATAATAAATAAATAAACTACATATTGGTATGGACTTGACATTATGTATACCAATTAAAATAATACAATTATTGTTTTATTATTATATCCCATTCAAGGAGGTAAATAAATGATAAACCTTATATTGTCACATGTAAATAACAACTACTTATTTGTTTAAATTTAATAGGTAAGTACATATTATGTTTATATATTGTTTTCCTCAAATTGCATGGGCCAACATGTACCTACCATAAGTACATAACTATTGGAAACAAATTCCACATCCATTTATAATTAATCTAACCACTACGAACTTTATTGAGGACCAGGAAAACCCGTTACCTAAATATTTGGATTTGAAGGAAAATGTCTTATAAACCTACTTATTTATTATAACCTACTTATGTCACATAGGTACGTGCTATAAACATCAAAGAAAAAATCTAACCAATCACACACTTGCGTCTACATAGGTACAACACTAAGATAAAAAAAACGTTAGTCGCGTCTGCTCTGTATATTTTACTCTATGTTTGAGCTCCACGCGTTCACCATTCGGAGACACAGTTCGCATCAAACTTTGGTCCAGCACGGACGTCGAACACACGGCCATACTACTCACGCGAACTTTACAAACTTTGTAACTTAAACATTGTTTTATATTAAACAAAATAAAGTCTATTTTTGTTTGAAAATTCAAGTGATAAAGTGCCTTCAAAGTGAGATTTAGTTTAAAAGTGATGTGATGATGAACGGTGTTGTAGTCAAAACTGAGGTTACTAATGATGCTGGGATTATTGACAGGTCAGTAATTATTAAAGATAATAAATTATTGCCACATATACACATGGGACAACAAAAAATAAATATAGTGTACAATGGACGGTCTTATCACACAAGCCGATTTAAAACTATAAGTAGTTATTGACATCAATAAAAATCGTTGAAGAAAGATTAACAAAACCAAACTCTAACTTATTTCCAGAGAATTTTCCAAAATTTTCCGTCTTTGAAATCGTCCCTTAAAGAAAATAAACTCAACATTATAGAATTACCGAGCAACCTCACCTTTCTTATATAGATATGTGTGAACGAGAAAAAAGAGACTAAACCTACTTTAGATAAACCTAAATGAAAATAAATACAAGTCACAATAATAAGGCTAATCTCAAAATAATTCTATTTATATTATTATTCGAAGTGACCACACAAGCTAAGATAATGACGAAACCAATTAATCATCAATTAACATAACATACACACGGAAACAATATTGATATATGTAAACAATATACTTATAAATTATCTCTGTTATAACTTTATTCATATTTTTTATATTTACAATTAATATTAATCATCTTCATCAGCTATTGCTGGACTATAGTTAGGTATCTTCTCACAAAAGTCATATTGCACCAACGGCAAGCACCAATGTAACTTTTTCCGAGTTATATTGTACTATCTTCTTAGATAGACTAAATAATTTTTTATTTAGCCACCACTTACAAACGGTGAAAGAAAACATCGTGAGGAAATCTGAGCTTATAATTTCTAATTATAAGTTTGAAATCGCCAACCCGCATTGAGCAAGCGTGGTGATTAATGCTCAAACCTTCTCCGTTTGAGAAAAGGCTTTGCTCAGCAGTGGGCATTTAGAGGCTGTTGATGAAGTCTCCTATACATTAGAGAGTTTCCCTTAATCTCCACACTTGGAATTGAGGTTGGAGATTGCAGTTTAAAATTTGCAACTTTATCATAGATTGCTGTTACCCCCGGTCTCTGTAAAATGTGTGATTATATTCTGATACCCACAGGAAGGTTAAGGAGCTGGTGACATGTGCATTGTCTCTCATCACCGCGGCTCATTTTCTTATTAAAAGTGTACCAAATAAAAACAATAATTCTGCTTTATATTATAACATTCGTGAGACATACTTAATAAATTATTATTATAACAAACAATTACGTGAGTAAGCCGAAAACATAGTAATTAACAATTCTTTACCCCCCAATCACCCCCCCCCCTTCCCCAATCTCCCCAATCCCCGAATCCCCAACAATCCTCAAAAGGCCGGTAACGCACTTGTAACGCGTCTGGTGTTTCAGGTGTCCATGGGCAGAGGCGATTGCTCAGGTAATCCGTCTGTTCGTTTACCGGCTTATGCCATAAAAATAAAAAAAAATCGACTGTTATCAGTAAAATAGGTTTTCTGAATACTAAACTGGTACATTATAATAGAAACTTAAAGAAACTATATTATATAGTTCTTTATGTTACGCTGATAACTACTCAATAACCGATAAAAAAATAATTACTAAAACGTATTTTTTATGGTTTCTGTGATTACATAAATTATAATTCAAACATGTTTTCTTATTAAATATAGTCGATGTTTCTTCCTATTGCCTATTCATTTTCGTACCTGTCTCTATCTATACAGAAAAATGAAATCGGAGTGTCTGTTTATAATATTAAAATAACCGCTATTTACTACATGCATATGAATTATTACATACGATGAACATACAAAAATACAATTCATTTTTCATTTCATTTATTTAAAGACGACGTCCCACACTAGGGAGCACTTCTCCTGTGTCGTGGGTACGTTTACAAACATACAAATTCCATGACATCCAGGCCCGGAACAACAATCTGTGGATTACACAAAGAGTTGTTCCGTGCGGGAATCGAACCCGCGACACTGCCGCGGCAGTCAGTTGCCCAACCACCGCGCCAACCATGCCGTCATTATATTTCCAATTTTTATTTGTCTGTCTGCTTGTACTGGCTAATCTCTGAAATGGCTGGACCGATTTTGCAAAACTTTGATTGGCAGGTAGCTGATATACTAACTAAGGAGTAGCATAAGGCTACTTTTAGTTTGGAAAATTGAAACAAAAAGAAACTATGTTCTAAAATGCAAATTCTACGCGGACGAAATCGCGGGCAACAGCTAGTCAATAATAAGATAAACATAATGATTTAAAACTACATGAAAATTGATAGACAAAGACCGGAGTTTGAAAGCTGCAATTTATAATTATAAGTCAATAAAAAGTCTTGCTCCTGATTTGAAAAATGAAACCCAGACTTAGACATAATTACAAGAAATAATATCTATGAATAGAATAATAGAGTTGTATATAAATTAGTCATTCACAGAAACATAATAATCCTTACTATAGTTACTGACACACCTGATAAGTTCCAGGATAGAAGGTTCAAACTATAAATAAATATGACTTAAACAAAAACATACATATATATAAAACTACCCATAAACTATAGGTATATATACCTACTTCAATATTAGAAAAAACTCAGAATATAAATTAACATCACGCCTTTTATCCCCGAAGGAGTCGGCAGAGGTGTATGTTATGGCACTTAATGCCACTGTAACAATGTAACACCCACTTTTCACTATTTGCGTTACGAGTCCCATATAATAGGGGGTGGCCCTATTGCCGTATACCGAACACAATTTCAGACTCCGTGCTACCACTGTGATTTTATTAAAAACCCAGTAAACTTTGCACGTCCTGAGAACCGAACCCGAGACTTCTAACAGGGATCAAATACAATAAAATCTCGACTAATATTGTAAATGCGAAAGTTTGTTCATTGATCTCTCATTTACGTCAAAACACGGTGCGATTTTATAATATTTTTGTTTGGAGCTAAAAGGCTGAAAAGTTATATACTTAAGCCAAGGATAACAATAAAAAAGTATGAACATTAATTTTTAACTCTTCCTTAGGTACGACGATAAGATTGACACCTTTTTGTACGTTATACCATTTTGCCAAACATCGAGCTTAATTCTAGGATCATAATGCTACAGTAATATCATGAAACCCACATAGTAATTTACTATTCCTACATCCTAGCTGAATGACCCTAAAACTTTACAACATTTTATCAAAATTGAGGCCTTACCAATCACAGTAACGACCACTTATTCAAGTACTAATTTAACCCTAAAAATCAACCACAAATTATTATGCCGAAAACGTAAAGTAATTACAAATTAGTTGGCCAACTTCCCCCGAACTAGCTCGCCGCCGCTTTATAACAAGTTTTGGACTAAACAACTTAAAAACTAATATATAAAATTAGTGAATGTTGCTCACGGAATTAGGTTAATATGGCTCGTTATTTTGCCCTCGTAATAACATCACTTACTGAGATAAATACTGGTGTAATTCATCATTACTTATGGTAAAAAGTAGTACTATCTTTCTAGCGGAGGTTATCGGAATTAGCTCAATAGTTTAGGAGAAACAATATTACAAACACTGTTAGAATATGACAAAGGTAAAAAGTAATCAAATTATGAACAACTAGCTTTTGCCCGCGACTTCGTACGCGGCGTACTTCATAAGAACGTTCTCCTGACTATAACAAACACAACAACAAAAAAATCAGCCAAATCGGTCTAGCAATTCTCAAGTTACGGCGTGACAACGGGAAACGTTTCATTTTTATTATAATATAGATTTGTATTTTCAATATCTTCGTTTTTCGTTTTGTTAAAGCTTTTTCGGTAAAATAGTAAACGCGAAAAAAAACAAATACGACTTTGAGTAATTATAACCAAAGTTTTTAACTTCCCAAGGTCATTCAGCTAAATAGTGTCTGCATATTCTAACTTGTTAATTGGCTAAAGAACTTGTTTTAAAATAATCCTTCCACTTTACCTTATTGGAACAAGCTTGTAACATGTTGTGGACGAGATGACGCAGGTTATGTTGATGGCGGATGCATAAAAACTCCCCGAAATATTTGGCAGAGGTGCGTTGTTTTAAGGTATGTAGGTAAGTTTTGAAGACCACTATAACTAATTTACTTATAGCTAAGAATTATAATTATATTAAACATAAAATATTCATATAGTTATGACAATTCAGTCCATTATACTATTTGTAGGAACTAAAATAGCGACTATCCCATTATTAACTAAACCAAAAAATAATACTCCACAGAGTTATGTCTCTATTATCGAACTATATCCACGTAAAATTTCATGATTAGTACTCCAGCTGTTTAGCAGATAAAGCACACCACACAAACAATTACTTTTCGCATTTAAACCATCAGAACCGACAGCTAATAAACCAAACACAAAAGCTTCGTACAAAAGCAATTCAATATACATTACATGTTAGAAAAACTCACATACTTGTGGTAATTTTTTACTTCGCAATATTAAACTCGGAGTGATATAATATAAATCAGAAGATTACTACAAAAAATTGCACAACAAAACAGACCACACAACTGCTATTTATCTCAGTTTTTATCGAGGGTTCAAAGATCCTAACTTACTTAAAAACTTTATTACATTAGGTAGTATAGTATGATAAAAACTGTAATTTAGATCGAGTGTTTATTGAAAAAATAGAATTATTATGTTGTATTGAGGCCTGCCTCGTTGGCCGAGTGTTTGTTAGTGCGACTGCAGGGCAAAGTACTACTGGGTTTAAAAAAAAATCTCAGTGGTAGCGCGGAGTCTGGAATTGTACTCGGTATATGGCAATAGGCTCACTCCCTATTACATGGGACTCATTAATAGTGAAAAATGTGGGTGTTACATTGTACAGTGGCATTGAGTGCCGTAATGTGCACCTCTGCCTATCCCTTCGGGGATAAAAGGCGTGATGTTATATATGTATGTAGGTATAATATTTCGTAGTATCCATAAAACTGATTATAATCAACAGTAGCTACAATCAAATATAATTTAATATAATTATTATCAATGCATACCATTGCTTGATCAAGAGATTAGCTATAGAAC